GGCCCCAGCGATGCAAATTCAGCCTGGAAATACGCATGTGCTTTTGTGCTCGCCCCTGTAGGCCTTCAGTCTCCAAAGTCTAGACCAGGATTTTCAATTAACCCTGGAGAGGTGGAGACCGGCACCTTGCACCTACAGGCCTTTTATCTCACGATCTACTCAGCCCAAATAAGTGCTCTCCTTTCGGGAGAGTTGCTGCGTTCTGAAGTGCTGGGAGAGATAAGAACAGAGACGCTCTCAGTGCTCTCGGTGGTTTCTGAGCAGTGGGAGCTGATGCCAGAAGCTGCTGTGACTCACGAAACTTCACTCAGGTTAAGCAGCACCCACCCAAGAGGAAGCAGGCAACTCGTTCCTCCAGTCCCCGGGAAACTTGGGGCAGCGTGTGCCTGCCCCTCGCCTCCCCCACCCTCCTATCCAAGTAGTGTTTCACAATTTCCCCCGTCCCAGGGTTACCAGGACAGAAAAAACACCTCCAACTTGAACGTGACAGGACGACCAGGCACCTCCACTCCCTCGCTGTCCAGGCAAAATGCCAGGGTGCTGGCAGCCCCTGAGCCGCGGGCTGCTTGGATTTCTCCCAGGGGATATTTAGAAAATGTCAGAATAGAAACTTGTTGACAAAAACTTGCAGTGTTTCCATATGGGCACAGCCTCGTGACCAGGTTGAAACTCTCCCATTTCAGCAGTGCTGGGTGGCAGCAGTGGGTTTTTCAGGTCAGAATGTGTGGTCATCTAGAAATATCTAAAAAAAAATAATAATTTTAAAAAGCACCTAAAATAATCATCAAAATCAAAACATTCGGAAGAACCTGCTTTTCCTCCCACTATTTTTTAGACAGGACACTTTCAAATCCATTTGTTTCCCTACCTCTTTGGCACCCATTTCCGAAGTGTAGGATTTCCTCCTGGAAAAGGGTACCCTGGCTCCAGGCCCAGAATTTGGGGTGTTTGGGATGCTCAAGAGGTTGCCAGGATGCAGTCTCCCAGGCGATGTGGACCACACTGAAAGCCCCCTCCAGCCAGCACAACGACCCCCAGAGCAGGGGGTTTCCTGCCAGGAGAAAACACCCCCAAACCCACCACTTTTCCACAACTACCCCTGCACAAGCTGTAATTTCATGGAGTGATGGCAAAAGACAGGATGGATCCTGCCTTCACCCTCACATCCCTTCTCCTAGGAGGCTAGGGTAGGTTCAGCAGTGAGAGGCCCCTGAGGCAGTCCTGCTCCAGCTGCACCCCAGCCCTGGTGCAGGGGTCTTGCTCCCCCTTCTCCTCTCCCAGGAGACGACACTCCCCGTGCAGGGGTCCTGCTTCCATTATCCCACCCCCAGGATGGAGATCCTCAGTGCAGGGGACCCCAGGGCCAGAGCACTCCCGAAGCATCCCGGC